CGCGGTGCTGTGCAGCCTGCTCTGGGTGACCCTGCTTGGGCAGGGGGTTGGGCTGGGTGACCCACAGAGGGCCCTGCCAACCCCGACCAGTCTGTGATTCTGTGAAGACTGCCAGCACGTTCCACGTGGAGACAACACTATGCCTTTGGGGGAATGAACAGGGAAAGCCAGGACAGGAGAGCGATGGAGGAGGCATGCCTGGCTTTCATGGCACTCCTGCCCGGGAACCCACCAACACAGTCTGCTTTCACAAGACCTCGCGTCGCCCCTCGGATGACACCGGCAAGTCTCACTGGAAATCAGGACTATCACAGCTGTGGAAACTGCCCGGAGGTTTTGGCACGCCTGCTGAATTTGGGACGTGCATCAGGGAGCTCGCCACAGCTCAGCAGGTTCCCAGGGGATGGATGAAAGGCACTGCCAGGCACTACCAGGACTTCCACCCCCAGCCCGCTGCCAACGAGTCACCAGAGTCTGTCACAGCTGGAATACAATCTGAATACAAGGTTCAGTGACGGCTCCCCTGTAACCGCCCGAAAAGTGCTTTCGTTCTTCTAAATTGAAATGCGCTGTACAATACTTAAATCTTTACTGCACCACGTAGGCATTATAGAAATGTCAGGTATTAAATATTTAACATTTCCCATTAGCAGGATCCCACTAATGGGAGCACTAAAAGAAGTAGGAAGCGAAATTTCGCAAATGGACGCTCTTTCTCCCCTCGAAGCTACCTGCTGCCTTCTCTTTCACGTTTTGTTACCAAGTGGCTTTTTATAATATATTTTTGGTCTGCTTGCACTTTACGTCATCTAATTACTATATAAATTAGGTTGCTATATAAATTGGGTTGCTAAGAGTGCAGAGTCAATCCCAGTCTTTCCCCAGGGGCATTAAGATGATGATGAGTAAAACTTTATTCATAAGCAGCTCTCTATGGAAAGACACACGGCCACCGCAAAACCGACCTCCTCTTCTTCCTCTTTTTTGCCCTCCATCCCACAAACAGCAGAAAATGCAGTGAAACCACCAGGGCTCTGTGCAGACCCAGGGCACCCGGCTCTCGGGATCAGCCCAATTACCGGCAGAGAATTTGAAGTGATGATTACACAGTTACGTCCTGTTTTAATGTTCTTTCCGCAGTCGCTACTAAGGACAGAAGAGATTTAGCCAAAATGAAAAGTACAAGAGGTCACACCATTCCTGCCTACACCCAAGAGGACTTGCCTCCACTCACACTCACTCCAACAGCCCGACATTTTTAAGAGTTCTTAATCTTATTTCTAGATTCACAGGACAACTCAGGTGGGAAAGGATCACGGGAGGTCTCTAGTCCGGCCTCCTGCTCCAAGCAGGGCCAGCTCTGAGGTCACAGCAGGTTGCTCAGGGCTTGATTAGGTTGAGTCTTGCAGACCACCAAGGATGTAAACTGCACAATGAAAACAACCCGCTCTCCACCTCTCTCTTTTCCGTTATTTACTGCATTTAAATAAACTAGAAATTAATGAGAACAAAACACAAATACATTTCAGATTTTCACTTTCTTTCTTGCTTGGTTGGAGGACCTCAGGTCCTCCTCCAATTCTAAAACTCTGAACTACAAAGAGGTATGCAGATGAGGACACTGACAGCTTAAAGCTATTAATAAAGCAATTCCATCGGCAGAAGGAAAAATTCTATCCCAACGTTTTCCAGCCACTACTAAGTCAGTCCATTTAGGGAGGCACTTTTATTAGAGGCAGCATTTCTTTACTTAGTGTCTGACAAGAAGTCTTGGCTTCAAATGCGAATTTCCTACTATTTACATGGAACTATCGGGTTTTATCCAGAAAATACTGTACACTGAAAAAAGTGCCAACTGCTAGAAAAGCAGCACGTTAGACTTCCATACCAGTACACCAGGTTAACTAGAGCTGGTGGCTCACGAATCTATAAGTCAGACCAGCAAAGGAACCAACGCAAATCAAAATGAATATAAACAAACATGGAGGAACCAGACCATCGCTGTTCTACACGGTAAAAGGAGCTATTCTTACTCTCTCTATTCCTATCTTACTGCCCTTTGCAGAGATGATTGACTGTGATTAACCCATCTCACTATCAGAATATCATCTTTCTAACTCTTCTTTAAAATGTGCCCAAGACCACCAAGCATGCGAAAAAGGGCTGTGATCTCTGCAGTGCTGATGGCACCCAGTTCTACACGTCTGATTCCTAAGCCGCAGCCTCTGATGGGCAGCCACAGGACTGAGATGAGAACAGAATGATGCTGGCTGGAGAAAGGAAGCGACCAGGATATGGAGAAAGTCTTTCGAATGCCCTCCAGTGAAGCAGAGCACACACCACCCGCCAACCCGAACGCTCAATCCAGAGGTTTTTGAGGGAGATGCGTAAAGCTCCCCCAAAAGAGCACCTAGGCAGCAGGAGAGACACCGTGTGCACATTCATTTCTTGGAATCTGAGTTACCGATCTCTGTCACACCAAACAGATTTGAACTGCTCTGTTGCAAAGGCAGAAACCCCTGCAGATTTGCACAGTTGGCAGGATCAGCTGAGATGGTCTCGTCAGGATCTAACCCAGGTTGCCTGACCATGTTCTTTAACGAATCCCTCCCTTTGGAAAACCAGATGGATCAAAACTGCTGACCTTCTACCCGAGCTTCGGCGTGTCTCACATCGCTAAGTCCAGCTTTCTCTCCAGGGTTTGGAGTGGAGCAGAAGGAAAGACAGAAGACAGCAAACTTCCTTCCAAGCCGGAAGATAAAATGTTAAATTCAGGTACGCCGCTCAAATATTTAGCAACAGTTAACTTGGGCTCAGCACCTTTTTACTTCTTTGCAGTTGAAATAAGTCTAACAAACCCATGAGGATTAATGTCAATTAACTCCACTCTCACTTCAACAGCAGCACTTCCCCCCCCTCTCACAACCCCAGGAAGAAAGGCAAACTTAATTAAAGAGAAATTCTTTTCCTCCCCAAGTTCATCTAAAGGTTATTTCACTATACACAGAACATAACAGTTGATCCTCTTTCCATTTATTGTGAAATGAGTTTTTTTGCAATAAAGTTCACTCAGTAGGTCTTCTTCAGAATATCTGGAGAGACAATGATTTAGAAGAAAAATATGTCATCAAATATTAAAACATTTCTGTTCCATGGCATGACGCTTTCTCACAGCTATTACTGCAGGTGTTAATCCTAATTTTAATGATTTTATAAATAAGAAAGAGACCTTACTTCCTAACACGCTTGTTGTTACAACACTTCAGCTAGGCTCATAAGCTCCACAGTAAACTGCATGTACACAGTTAAGAGTAATTAGGCAAAAAGTGCCCTAATTATGCTCTCTGTCCTTCAACTAATTGGAGACATTACCATGACTAATAAATCCCTGAGCACAAGTGACTAATGACTAAATAAGTCTTTTCAACATCAGGCAACAAGCTCATCTTCAGGCACTAATATCACAGGTCTTTGTTCTCCTTTGAATATGAGAAAAACCAACCAGATGAGCTTTAAGTTGCAATTAACATCTGTCAGGTTATGTAATGAACTGGAAAAAAATCAGGATGTAGTGAGAATGTTCCTACTGCCATCTGCACCATGCGTATCCAAGTATTGCGCGTAGAAGGACACATACAGCATACGTTGGAGTATTCCAACATCACTAAGGGTGAATTTAGCTGCCCACTCCCAGGCTCCTGTTCCCACCCCACACACCTGAAGGTACCCAGTCCTCCAGGCAGGGTTGATTTATGGGGAACCCATAGACTTCTGGAGAACCAGCAAAGCCTGGGCAGGGACCCTGGTACCTCCACCAACACCTCACGCCTGTGCACAACCAACTCTGAACATGAGGAAGAACTTCTTCCCTCTGAGGGTGACGGAGCCCTGGCCCAGGCTGCCCAGGGAGGCTGTGGAGTCTCCTTCTCTGGAGATATTCAAGACCCGCCTGGACAAGGTCCTGTGCAGCCTCCCTTCCAACCCCTACTATTCTGTGATTCTGTGAACTCAGCCGAGCCCTTACTGGCCCTGAGGTTTGAACAACCTGCACAGTGGCTTTGTCTACTTCGAGATCAAGTGATCCTTCCATACAACGAACGCTCTGATGACCATTTCATAAATAAATAAGAAGGAAAGTCAGTGCTTCAGGTAATTTCTCTGCTGAAAGAGCTGAAAGGAACACACCATTCTCCTTTCTGCCTTACACACGTAAACGAAAACCCGGAGACTAGTTGTGTTACTTCATTTAGCTGAGGATCTTCTCCAGCAGCAGCCAAAAGCAGTCTCTTCAGGAGTTTTAGTGATCCAGGAGTAGGGCACAGTGATGCTTATCTAAATCAAGAAATATGCCTTAAGACAGCTGTTATTCACTGATGTGCTTCCCAGCATATTTCTGTCCTTTGTCTAAGGGTAATACAATTTAGCCTTCATTTTCCAGTACTTGGAAAAAAAAAAAAAGCAGCTATTTCTCTGAACTATCAGACAAAATGGTAATGTTTCCCAAATTGGAAATGTGGGAGATTACTTTGTTA